TTCGTGGACTGGGACATCGAGATCAACGTAATCGACGGTTGGAGATACTGATATGGTTGAGTATCGTAAACAGTGGAGATCGTGCATCCACCCAATGCGATGGTAACTAGAGTCTTCATGAATTATCTATTTTCACCCTTACACTGAGTCAAAAATTTCAATCTTCCATTTACTCCATCCGAATGGGCAGTCATGAGACAGTCACCAAAACCGGCAAGCGCATAGGTCGCGTAAGGCTCCCTGAATGGGCCTCTCGGGTCACTGTAAGCGATAGTTAGACACAGTGATACGGCTGTGTCGTAAGCCTCAGGTATGTCAATGCCTTTGCAACCTTCGTCTACCCAATTTAAATGTTTTCACATTGAGATTGTTTCCACCATTCAAATCTTCCCTCCACTCTTTCATCTAATGAGTAACCAAAAGACAGCTACCAAAATCACCGCACGAAACTGCATGGTTAATACTCTTATAGACGGAAACTGAAACATGGATATTGACTGGGGAAATACATATATATCTTGGTTTTTCTTTTGTAATCGAAGTCAATAATCCTGCACAAAATTCAGCTTAATCTTTCTGAATACATCATTGTGGACAGTTATTCAACACGAGGGCACTTTGCCCTTCCTGCTCAGCGAACAGTCAATGGTGATCGACTTCTTCAGTTCTGCGCGGATCACCGTCTGTTCTTATCTAGCATCAATTTTCGACGTAGCTCTCTTCGAACGGCTACAGTGTTCTAGTTCAACTGGCACATCGACTCAAATTGACCACATAACTGTAAGCTACCGTTGGCGTGGCTCAGATCCTATTGGTCCACCTGCGTTGAGTCGGATCATGCACTAGTTCTGCTACGCTTCGCTCTTCGACTCATTGGTCATCGGCAGAAATCGCCTCCTCAATTAGCTCACCATCGTGTGCACGATCCAGCTGTCTGCGCACGTCCTGAGGAGAAGCTGGGACAGGAGCTAGGAGAACCGCGACATAGTGGAGTAGACCAGCAGTGGAATCAGATTAGATTTGCGATGCACTCGGCTGCAAACTTTGCTTGTGGGATTAAGCCCGAAGTTCCCCGAAGTCATTGGATCTCTCAGGAGTTAGTAATCCTAATGGATCAAAAGCGAAAGATCCCAATATGCCAGGATCAGCATAAAGACCGGTGTCGTCTGCAACGTCAACTCAGAAATAGCCTTAAGAAAGATCGTGAAAATTGGTGGGCTAAAGTAGCTAGTGAAATGGAGGTAGCTTCTGCATTAGGGAATTATCAAAGACTATTTCATCTGATACGCAGCACCGGAGGTCGTCGTATACCGGTCAGAGATCATTTGCGATAAAAGTGGACAACGACTTGATCGCTGGGCAGAGTATTTTAGTGAACAATTCAATTGGCCTAGAGCTAATGTGGTCACTCCAGCAATTGCGGCGGAAACTCCATGGG